ACATCACATTACTGGGATCCCTTATAGCACACAAGGACAAGCTTTAACTGAATGTGTGCATGGCGCTTTGAAGCAACCCTCCCAAAAAACGGGGGGGGGGTACAATATAGTACCCCTCGTGATAAATTATCTGCATCTGTATTTATTTTAAATGTTGACTCTCTCTCTAAAGGCTCTGATATAACTCGAGCCAAAAACATTTTAAAGAGGACAAAAAGGCAAAAAGGGTGTCTGCCCCTCCGATATCATGGGAAGATGGAAATGGAACATGGCACACAGGCATGCTGGTTGCCCCAGGGAAGGGCTCTGCTGGTTTCCAGGTGATGGGTGGTGTGTACGGATTCCTTCTCGGCATGCCCGACCTCGATGACGACGTTCCTGCGACTATCAGCAGCGGGCTGTTCCAGAGGAAACCAGAGCAGACAGTTAGTCACAACTAACTAGGAGCTAGTTAAAACTCCAAGACATCCACTGATGATTGACTTTTATAGAAGGCAAACAAACAACTCATCCAAATTGAACTTTAATTTAAAAATAATACAGGGGACAGATTTAACTTTAATTAAAAAGGGGGATATGTGGGAGCAAATGGTCTTAAGACGGTGTCTGAGGAAGGCATCCATGCCAAAGCCTCTGAACGCAGAGCACCTGGAGCAGAACGCCGTCCCGGGCTTCCACGAGACCGCGAGCCTCGTTTTTTCTTCAAGTTGTGCAGGACCACTGCCTTCCACAGTTTAGGCAGGGTCTGTGGGAAGGAGCTGACAGCTCAGCCTAAGAGCTGACGCACGGAATGGTCTGACCATCCACTGAGATAAGGTAGACGATGTCGCACCTGTTCCCTGGAAAACTGCTGAACACCCAGCAATCGGTAGGTGTGGAGTTAGCCTCCCTGTTCCTGGCTCTTTCTCCCCTCCGGGCCATGGACACATGGGCTAAGATCTTCCTGCCTTGAAGTGTCTTCTCCCCCCTTTGTCTCTTGTCGTTTCTCTCTGTTTTCTCCATTGCAACCGTGCCTGCCCCTCTTGTCCCTGGTCGGTGTGTGAGCTGGCTCTCATCGGAAGCCAGCGCGAGTCTCGGTACTAATCTGTCCCGAGCTGCCAGCTGCCTGTCACTTCCTCTGCTCCCGCCCTTATTTGGAGCCTCTGCCAGCTGAACCACAAACCAACCGGGAGAGCTGGGCTCGCGCCAACTGCCACAGGGGTCTGGTTGCCCGGGAGAATGAATCCAGAGGCATCTTGGTGAGATAACCAGAGATTCTTCTCTGCTCTTCTCACCCTTTGAAGTGGGAGCCTCTTCAGGCCAAGCAGCAAGAATGTGGCTCTTGTAGTGGAAGGTCTGGGAGGGTGCGTGTGTCGGTGGGTGGGGTGGGGAGGGGGGAGCGTTGCTGGGGTTACTCAAGGCAGAGGGGCTGCGACAAGCTCCGCCGGGCTGATAACTTTAAAAGGACATCTTCTGCTGGGTCCTCACCCGGCTGCTTTATCGCGGCAAGTGACAGAATGGGGAGGGTTCTAGCACTCCTGTGCTCTCCGAGAGCTGGGGGGGCTATAAAAAGAGGTGGCACCGGCCGGCTGGGAGGCAGACAGGCGAAGGCCACACAAGGGTACCCAGGAAGGAAGGAGAAGACTCAGAGGCCATCAGACCACCTCTTGTCCAACATCAGCATGGGCTCCTTCTGCACAGTCGTCCTGGGCATCCTCCTCTTCCTGGCCGTTCAGCTCCCAGGTCAAGCCAGCGCGAACCCTGTGTATACCTCCATGTCCAACGCGGACCTGATGGATTTCAAGGTAGGGCCAAGAGAGGGGGCTCAGCCGGGGACCAAGAGGCTTTCAGACCCCGTGCCCATTCCTGTTGATTTTCTCCAAGCCCCTCAGACCTCCCCCTCTCCCTCTGTTTCCTTTTGGTCAAGAGTTTGCTGGACCGCTTGGAGGACAAGATACCTTTACAAGACGAGGCCGTGCCCCTCCCAGCCCTGAGCGAACAGACGGACGGGGACGGGGTGGCTCTCAGCCCCCTCGCTGAGGTGCCTCCCTGGGCCAGAGAGGCCGGCCCAGCCCAGCAAGATGGAAGTGTCCTGGGGAGAGGCTCCCGGGAGGTCTCGGAGAGATCTGCTCTCCTGAAAAGCAAGCTGGGGGCACTGCTCACTGCCCCTCGGAGCCTGCGGAGGTCTAGCTGCTTCGGGGGCAGGATCGACAGGATTGGAGCGCAGAGCGGCCTTGGGTGCAACAGCTTCCGGGTAAGAGGTGGGAACGGGGAAAATGAGGTGTGGAGGGAAGAAATGGTGGTGTGGCCAAAGCTGTGACCTTGTCAAAGAACATGAGTCGGAGATACGCTCATCAGGAAAGGACCAACACACAGGCTGTCCCTTAGAAATCTCTATCCGAACTTGGTGGGTGCCCTCCTCAGGACAGGACCCTCATCCTCAACTATTGCCATTCCCTGTTGCTCTCTTAACCCACAGCGACCACATAAGATAGAGTAGGGGGCCTTGTAAGGTTCCCCAGGCTGCAAATCTAGACGGAAGCAGACTGCTGCATCTTCTCCTGTGCAGTGGCTGGTGGCTGCAAGCCCCAGACCTTTTGGTGAGCCAGGGAGGGCTTCAGTAACCCAGGTGCCACCTAGCAGGCTGCCTCCTGCTCCCACTGGCATAGGGTATACCCACAAGCCAGTCATGTTTGCATGGCTAATCGGCAGGCGCCCTGATGGCATACCGGCTATGCAGTAGGTTGGTACCTGTATGGTCAGCAGTTCGAAACCACTAGCCGGTCCTGTTCTACGGCGTCATTGTGAGTTGGCATCCACTCGATGGCAGTGAGTTTGGTTTATTTGCAGCCAGCAGCTCACGTTCCTTCCTAGAACCATAAGGTTCCCACGAGATCACATGAAATAGACGCCAGCTGCCCTCGTTAGCTCCTGATGATAACCTGTTCTCCTGTTCACCCATGGGGAGCTAGTGGATGTAATTGGCCGGAGGTCAAGTTAAGGAGACCTGACTCGGGCAGCTGAAGCTGGCTTGCCCAGCAGACTGGGTCCCTAAGCGAGTGTGCCTGTCTTCTCCCGGCAGTACCGAAGATAATGGCCAGCGAAGAGGAGGGGTCGGCCCGGGAGATACGGACACCCTCGCCGGCTGGGACTTCCACCCAGCCTCGTCCCATCGCGCAGCTGTGGAGCTGACACGCACCTGTTCCAGCTTCGGCTCGCTGTCAGCGCCGCTCACATTCTGTGCTAAACATAGAGACAATGGAGTCATTGTCGCCCCTGCCTCTCCCACTCCCGTGTGGTTGCGTTAACTTGTAGAACACACCCCACCTGCTACTGAGAGCCGTTTGAAACAAACATGAATAAATGTCAGCACCACGGACAGAAGCCAGTGGCTGGTGTGCTTCTTTCTCTTCCAGAGAAGAGGATTCCGCCCCGTACTTCTGGTCAAAGGAGCCCTGGTTATGCTGTGGTTACAAGCGTGGGTGGCAGAATCCACTGGCTGCTCACACTGGGGGTGAAGATGTGGCATGAGCCGCCTCGGAAACCCTCTGGGGCAGCCCTGGAGGG